CGATCGTCCATCTTTATCTTTTAAAGCCGTTTATTGAATGTATGCTCGTTTGAAATTTTTGTGAAAAGAAAAAATCGATTATTTTGAAGTCTTCTGGAGGAAAACTATGTTATCAGCAAAGTTTCTTCGTTATTGTTTACGAGCTTAATACTTAGACAATTGAAGTCGAGGTCCAATCAAAGCTTTTTTTCTTTTTGGCAGGGTAGTTTTTTTGGTAATCAGGTCTGAACTCAGAGCGTATTAAGGTTTTTAAATTACTGAGACGTAAGTGCCTTGACTCCACCTGTCATTTTTTTAGTCGAAAGGTAAAGAGTATTCAGTTACATTCCATATTCAAGTGGAACATGGTACTCAGATATTATAATTAGTAAAGTCTTGATTTTATAGTTCCAGTACAGAACGAATGGGCAGCGCTGGAAACAGTTCTGAAGATAATTATGACATTGGCAGCCTCTCTTTTGGTGATGAAACCGATGAAGAAGATAATCCTAAAAAGAAAATTCCAAAATGGGCTTTACGTAAGTTTTGACTCACTTTTGAAAAATGAGTATATAAGAAGAGAAACAGAAACATTGACAGAAAAGTACATCAGAGGTTTTACGGAACAAAGATTATTGGTTACCAGTGCCTTCTGTTTGTCGTGTCACATTAAAATCTCCATTAACAGTCGGAGTAAATCCGCCTGTCGAAATAGTGATGAAGAACAGCTGAAAGATTTCCACGGTCAAAATTAATGCGCTGCATACTGTTTGCCAGCCCTGTATAACTTTGTTTGTGAGGTCGGAATAGAGCTTTGACCAGTAGACTCAAGTTTCGTGGTAATGGCACTGAAAACCAGGGCGAATGTTATTCATGACCCATGTCGAATAACAGCCGATAGTATTTTTTAAAAAAATATTCCCTTGTCTGGTTGTCATTTTTCGGAAATCACAAGAGTTCGTTGCCAGCAATGCGTCCAAATGTTTTTTACTTACCGTGTGAAGATTAACCAAGTCATCCAAATTGGTCTTAGTGAAGCAAAGGAAGTAGCCCGGTATCTAGAAGAATTTCATTTCATACGTCTTGCTTCTTTTTTCCTATAGGAAGCTTCTCAAAAACCTTGGGACTAGAGGAGTTGCTCCGTAGGTCGGTGTTACTGTTGAGTAGCTATATCCTAGTGGATTTACTCAAAAAATTTAAGGGAGAGAAAATCATGTGAACAAGTTCTTAAAACGCTTTTTAAGGAAAAGTTTGGAAAAGGTTTCTTTCTTCCACAAGTTCTTCAGTTTTGTATAAATTTCAGAGGAAACATAGAAGTCAAGGTTTTAATTCCAGCAATAAACGACTTTAACTGTATTCCTTTGTAAACGATCATAATTGGCAATCTTCTCAGAAGAAGAAAAAGTTGTTGAGAAAGATTGTTGATTTTGAGACAAATGTTTTTGGAGGGGATATTAAGTAATTCCGTCGCTGTATTAAACCTACTCTGTAACTCACAATATTGGAAATGCAGTGAAATTTTGTGAATTTTGCGTCAAGGGAGTGGTTGTTCTCTTGAAAATTTTCAGTTTTTGTTAAAGATGCGACGAAGTTTTATTGGCTATCTGTGTCGAGAGATCATATGTATAAAGAGCGGTAACTTCAAGGTTCTTTGATGAAGATATGGTCAAATCAAATATTTCCAGCAAAAATTTGCTGACAAAAGCTCAGTCAATAGTTTACTAGGGTTGACGGAAAAGATTAAAAAAAAGCGGGTTATTCGCTTGTCAAGACTTCCAATTCTCGGTGGAAGGCAAGTTGTTAAACCAAGAAAGTCTTTAAAATTTTGCAGCAGGTTGAGCTTGCATTTATTTTTTATCTTTATTTTATTTCCTTTCTTATCTGTCAATTTGTTCTTTCTTTAAACTCTTCACCATATCGATATATCGACATATATATATAATTATTTATTTCTTTAAATTATTTATATATCATATCTATATCTATATTCGTATTCATATTTATATTTGCATTTATATTTATATTTATATTTATAAAAAGCGCAAAGAGAATTTTCTGGTGATTGGTGGAAATCATCTCCGAGAGCTGTTTTTTGTGCCTGTTGTTTTTGTTTATTTTACATAGCTACCATGGTATAATCTGGAGGGGGATTTTAACTTCAGAAATATTTTTAAAAGTTTTTTTAAATGATTGAAAATTTCTAGCTCTCAATCTGCTTAAAGCGCTGAAGCAGCAGTCATCGTATCCGCAGAAGGATCTGGATTCGTTCTTTGGCAAGATAGAAACACCAAATTTGACAGAAATTTTTGCTGCTAATCGTACCCGGTACCAAAAAAGAACGTCATCTGCCTTGTGGCCTTCACCGCTTTCAAATCCACGCGAAGGATTAAGTTTATATTTCACTCTCCAGAAGCGAGGTTGATTTAGTAGATTAGTTGTTAAATGCTGGAATTGTAAATAAATTGTAAATAGTTCTTCTGGTTTTTTTCTCCCAAACAATATACCCCAGTGACATATGGTGAATGTTACTTTGAGTCTTAGTCTTAAATTCTGCAGTTCTGTGAACATGTTAACAGCATTACGTCTTCAAGTGTTAAATCTGCTTTTTGGAATTTTGCTGTAACATTGTAACACATTATGATAAACAGGTTATTCTTAATTGACTTTTTTCGCAGAGTTTCTCTAAAAACGTCATATTTAATTTAAAAAATTGTTTCTTAGCAGTCTACCTATCTTTCAAGCATGTTCGGTTTAGTTGTAATGCGGCTAACGGTCGTTGTTGGATAAAGTTTCTGTTCATACTACGTACGACAGCTGAGAGGATGATCAGATAGAATTAACTGGTGTTATGGAGCACATATGAATCATTGTTTGTAGCCGAAATTATAGTTAGGAAGTGCACAATTCAGTTTAATACAGCAACGCCAGGGTGTTGCGGCAACAGCCTAATAGGACTTGTAAGGTAACAGTGAAGCAATTAGTGGCTTGTCGGTTTGGAAGAGCGCCATATGATGCGTTATCGTTTTTTTGGCGGGAAAGGCTTGGGGGATCTGTGAAACTGGAGTTGGTTTTTGCTTTTTTCGGCTTATCCCATCGATATTCGTGTTGTTTTGAGGGTTGGTTGTTCCAGTGGAGTTCTGGACGGGTCCCTGTTGTGTTTTGCGAGTAGAGTTTGTACATTTTGCATAAAGGCTGTGGCTGTGTTTTCTTGTGGTACCTTGAGACACTCATTTGTTGTATGTGTAAACTTTTAGTTCTAATTTCACTAAAAAAAGTCTAACCGAATTTAATTGCTGAAGATATGCGGTGCTGTTATAAATGTTCGTTGGTTTGAAACTATTGTTCTATTTACAAGTGTTTCTTTTTTTTTTTCTTTTTTTGAATACGTGGTTTTAAAAGTAGTCGTTCACGCCGCCGGCTGAGTAGACTTTTCCTCCCATTCGCTTATGAAAGTTAGACTGCTGGTAATAATTCGGTTTTATCCAAAATATAGACAGCATCTTAGCTGTGTTATTAAGCAGTGTCTTTTATTTCTCTTTATTCCTTGTAAACGTTTTCCTTGTTCAAACTTCGTCTTTGAACCTTAAAAAACTTTTCATTAATTTATTTCCTACTTTTCTTCTTCTTTTGTATAGGGGATTTTTTATTAACTAATATGATGTGTTAGCGGAATCATTATTTATCAGTTACCAACTCTGTTTCCTCTTCCCCCTCCCTCCCTCACTATGCTGAACAGTATTTATTTCAAGTTTATTAATATTCTTTTGAGTACGATTTCAAGTCCCGAAAGGAAATATGTGATGTGTCGGCGTTCAGATGGCTATGATCACAATGACTTCCTCGTTTTAGGCTCACTTCTAAACATTTTTTTGCTTCTTGATGGTACTAAAATCTTCTAACTAATCATTATATGTAGAAAGAATTTAAGAATGTTGTCTGAGCTGCATAGACGGCAAATGCCGTAACAACAACCGCAGCTGCAGGAGTGTTACTGCATTCAATTTCTGAATATATAATATATGATTGCTCTTTCAAGATATGAGTTACCGTTGGCGTAGTTACGTGTTGAAATTATTTACTTTTTTAAACTAACTGTTCAATTCCTTTCGGTCATCGGGTGTGAAGTTTGGTTCACAGAAGGAGAATCATAAGTTGCTCTGAGCTATTTTCGCGCAAAATTTTTCCTTCCTGTTTTGAGGGGATGTGAGGTTTTTACAACTACATTTGAGTAAATTAGAACGTTAATTGCGGTCTTGTTGGCTGTTTGTAATTGGGACATATAGTTTTCACAGACGTTATTTGTCAAGGTTTTTTTTATTAACCGTCTTTTCCGTTTCACTTATCGCGTGTATTATTATTTTTTTCTTAGATGGCTGATGCAGTTTCCACTACCGCTGTCACTGAAATCAGTGAAACGCAGAAAGAAGTGGTGGAGGGGCTAGTTAAGGGATGTTGCACAACACCTAATAATAACGAAAACGAAACGCCCGTTGCGTTATCTGAAACTGAAGTTCCTGTCACAAAATTGGAAGGGGAGCTGAAAGAGGTGAGGAAATTACCGTGTGAAAACCATAAGTTCTCTTCTAAAGTTTTACTTGTTAAGTTTATGTGTTGTTTCTAGCAGACAGCTACGCAAGAAGCCAAGCAAATCACCAATATTCCTACAGAAGTTGGAGGAGAAATTCATCCCTTGCAAAACCGTTGGGGGCTGTGGTACTTGAAAGCTGATCGTCAAAAGAACTGGGAAGAGTGCTTGAGACTTGTAACAGTTTTCGAAAGTGTCGAAGATTTTTGGGCGTAGGTTTAAAATTTTGTTTGCGTTGATTGTGTTTAAAGCATTATTGGAGACATTCTAATTACTCAGTTTTTGAGGTAAGGAAAATTATGCATTTGGTAAGAAGTTTCCTTTAAAAGTTTTTTCTGATAGGCATTAAGCGAAAATTTTTTTGTGATAGGAGGTAATTGCTAGGGATTTAAAATTTTATCTTTATAGTTCTATTATAAAATTAACTTTTATGGCTAAACTGAGTATTTTACAGAAGGATGTAGACGCTTTGGTCGTGATGAACTTTTATTTTTTCAAGCTAGTAGGAGGAAGTTTACAACTAACTACGAAGGCCTCTAATTCCTTTTTTGGCGCGTACTTATTTAAGATGTTAACACTTAGGAAAATTTGGTATTATAGATTATACAACAACATCCAGTCAGCTTCTGGTTTAAATTATGGAAGCGATTACTATTTGTTTAAAGAGGGAATCAAGCCGATGTGGGAAGATGAAATAAATGTAAAAGGTGGTCGGTGGTTGGTGGTTGTTGATAAACAAAAACGTTCACAACTGCTTGATCGTTACTGGCTTGAATTAGTGTTAGCAATGATTGGCGAGCAGTTTGAAGATTATGGCGATCATATATGTGGGGCAGTGCTTAATGTTCGCCAAAAAGGTGACAAGGTAGCACCATTATTGTCGTTGTTATTGTTATTTATCATTGTAACTTGTTTCTTCCACACTTTTCTTTTTTCCTCCTAGAAGTTTCTCATCTATTAAAAGCTTAATCTTTTTGCGTTATGTAATGCAAAATTTTGTTTATATGCTTGGCAATTTTGAGGTTTCTTTATGGACAAGGGACTCCATGAACGACAAAGTTAACACGAGAATTGGAGAGATTTTGAAGACAAAATTGGACATTCCAGACACAGAGCCAATTAGATATGAAGTGCATAAGGTTTGAACCTGTGATCATCGAGTTGTGTTTTCTTAAAAATAATCTTCCGAAAATTTTTTTGATACTTTGAATCTCTTGGAGCGGATGCAGTATTTTTTTCATTTTATTTACGATGTCTGAATTAAGATTATAGTGGGTTTTAGGACTATTCTTCGCGGACAGGATCAATGGTCAAACCAAGAATTGTTCTTCCACAAAAAGAAAGATAATTTAGTTTTGTTAGTCAAATTTTGATAAAGTGTTATTTGCTAGTTTTTACTCTTTGTTTTATATATTTTTAATAGACCGTTTTGAAAGTAAGATTTTAAAAGCCGAGTGATGAATTCGTTGTTGAAAATCTCAGTATTAATGTGCTTTGTTCTTTGTTATAAACTTATAATTCTTGTTCACTTCTTTTTATTTATTTTTATTTTTTCCAATGATTGTGGCAAATAACACGTCATCTACATTGCTGTATGTTCTGGAAATATGAATATTTTGATGTATTCCTTTTCTTCGAGGTTAGTTTGATTCAGGTCGTCGTTATTTGCGGGTCTGCCAAAGATTTTGCTTCCTTTGACATTGGTTGAACAGGATTTTTATTGTAACAATCCGAAGCAATAAAGTTTTGTTGTTTGACAGTCAGTATGTCCACTGTATGTACAGCAAAATTTTTGCTGAAAATTCGATAGTTTTTAGTGGTGCATTTACGCTGGGTAAGCATTCTGAGGTGGTAATTGCTTTTTAGGGATGTTGTCCGTCAGCATTCCTTGTTCTGTCGTTATGTCGCGATTGCTAAATTGGTCCAGTAATAGCGTTGTGGGGTTGGTTTATACTGGTTGTCTTAGAGAAAGTTGTTATTGTAGCTGATATCCAATCATAAGGGAGAGCTGTAGGTTGATTCAGTATGGTTCTTGGAAAGAGAAGGCTGTGGCAGGAATGGACTAATGTATTTTAAAAGTATTTTTTTGTAAAGGAGATTAAGGGCTCCTTGTTCCACTCTCAGTGGGAGGATTTTGACTGCGGTAGATCCGTAAAGTAGTTTTTTGATAAAACCAGAGTATCGTTGTTATTCGTGAGGGTATAAAGCTGTGTTCTTAACGAAAAGTTTCAATTGAAGGACCAATAGAATGTAACCAACGGTTAAATTCGGCAAGGAAAAAAACATCCAACTACTCCTTTGTATGCGAAAGATCTATGGTGATCGACACAAAGAAAGCAGGTGTCATTTATTAGAGCTGAAGAAAAAATTTATCGAATAGAGCTGGGATCTTGCTTTATAAAAAACTAAATCTTAGCTCGTTGAGGCATAAGTAATTTTATTGTTAGAAAAAATGATGGTCTAAAAGAACCGATATTAACGTCCTACTTTAGGCAGTGTTGTAGCCTGTCATTTGTCAGTGCCCTGGTCCACCGTCTCAGCAGCTGGCTACACTGACCGGTTATTATTCTTTAGATATGAGTCTTGTACTGCTCGTTTGCCTAATCGTATATGCCTATTCGTCAGGTAAGCGGAAACCATACTGTACTGTAAACTTATTACCTTTAATTTATGAAAGTTCTAACATTTTACTATTAGTTTTTTTCTTTTGTTTTGCTTGTAAAAAAATAAACAGAAAACTCGCGTCTAAAGGAAGACGTCGCGAGCTTTTGAAAACGTTGTTTATCAGTTGTCGGTTGTGGGAATGTTAACGAAACGAATTAAGTCGGCGAAAAAAAAGTTAAAAATAGTTGCATTAATTCCGCATCCAGTGTGAAGTTTTAGTTATCCATTTTAAATACAGCTTATACAGCTATAATTTTGATGTAATTTTTTTCAAGCTCGAGTTTCTTTTTCCTGATTGATTCTTCATTTGCTTTCCAGATACAGTTAAAGAACTATTACTGTCTTTTGTGACAGCAATTAAAGTTACATATTTTAGGAGCAAAATATATATTTAAATATTAATAATGTTATACCTGCAAAATCAATTTATACTATAGAATTTGAACCATGAAATAAAAAATGATAAAACGTATACTGCGCTTAATAAAAACCTTTACAACATTCTAGTTTTCTCCTTACGTCTTCTGCATTCTGATCTTTCAACTTTTTTCCAGCTTCTGGGTATAATTCAAAATTCAGCTACGCGATTCGCATGTAATGTATTTTCTCATCAAGTTTTTCAGAAAGTTTGTTCTTTAAACGTATCCAACGCTTTTTTTTCTTCGGAACAGTTGCACTGTTTGGTTGACGTGTAGGCCACATTGTAGTGAAAAGTTTAGAAAAATAATTTGAAATGCTGATGAAGAATATGCTGTTGTAAAACAATAGATTTATTGCACAAAATGATTGGTGAAAACGTGTGGACAGCGAAAAAGCATTTCTTACTATTAATATACTAGTTGATACTTACAGAGTTTGCTGACTTTTCTTTAGCCTTGTTATTGAGATGTTCTGGAAAAAGATAAGTGCAGATATAAGTTTGCCAGTAAAATTTAATCTCGGTCATGAAAGAATCTGTTTAGTAATTGCCAAATTTTGGTTTTTCTTGTTTATGGCGTATAAAGAACTTCAAATCTTTTTTTTTTTTTTTGAAAGAAAAATTTCTGTAATGCAACAGATTATAAAAACGAAAGAACTAAATTTTTTTAGTAAGCGCATGAAGCAAGAGTAAAAATCTGGAAGAAAAGCAACTTGGAAAACCATTTTTGCTAGTTACAGTAATTTTTATCTATCCTTATTTGCTAAATGATTTTTAAAAAATAAATTTGTTAACAGGTAACAGGACGAAAAAATAAGTTAAAAAAATTCTTGGAATTCTTCAATCTATGCAACCTTTATTGTAACCTCATTAGAGAGCGACAATAAGATTTAGAATAAAATATGCCACTTAACTATCGATGTCGACAAAACAATTGTTAAGCACAAACTGTTTCCTGTATTCAAAAAGTAGTTGGAACTATTTTTCAAGAAGAATTTATTGATATAAGTTGAAGTGAATGAAAGAACTAAATTCTTTTAATGAACGCATTAAATAAGAGCAAAAACTTCTTTGCAGTTTTAACACTTGCTGAAGAGTTTTTGGACGGCGACAATCGTTATACAATTGTAGACTCGTCCTCATCAAGTTATGTATTAAAAAATTTTAGAAAATTTCGTGAATTCAGTGGTACGAGAAGGTAAATTAAGCGACAATGAGGACTTACAAATTAGGCGGGATAGTTAAAATCTTAACCAAAGCCGTGATCTAATACCAGAACATTTACCGGCTGGAAATATCTTTCCCGCAGCAGAACCTAAAAAATTTAAAAAAAAGAATTTCCTAAAAGTTAATCGCAATATTTATATGGTGACCGGGACGGTTTCCAAACTGAAAGTATTGATAACTGTCATTGAAACTCTGACAAGTAATGTGAACACGTCTAATACTCATACAGCACCCAGCAAAAAAAGCAATCGGGATTTCAGTTTCCTTCCAATAAACAGTGTTCATTTGACGGTGAAGAACCGCTCATTATTCAAAAGCAAAAATCTCTTTTTTTAGAGAACGCAAAAGTAGCTGAGGTGCCCTATACGACAAATGATTACGATACTGTGTATGATCCGCTGCACAGTTTACACGCCTATCAATTTAGAAACTTAAGTAGTATGTTTTTGTTTTTTTTTTTTTTAAATTGATATTTTAAATGCGATGGCAGGACCTCGAACCAATATTTAGATGCTTTTTACAGGTCCTGGAAAGCCAACACCGAGTTCGCACAGTTACGAAACTATGGAGCATAAAAATCAAACCGAATCACCACGTTTAACATTTCAGAGCTTTTCTACAGATAAAACGCCAACAACAAAAAAAGGTGTGAAAAAAAGCGTTTTGCAAATTCAAATCCGATTCTTTTGAAATACTCCTGCTATACCGTTTGCTTCTTTTGTTTGGCTTCAGAAAATCTTATAAGCAAAATGTCAAAAAATTTGAAAAGTGCATTTGTAGTTTGTGGGTGAAATTTGGTAAGAATGTGAAAGGTAAACCAACTATTCACGGTTCCTTTTTAGCACAACCGATAGCAGAGTTGCAACCTTTATACAACGAAAGCAATCAGCATCTGTATGAAAAAGACGATTCGCATGGAATCAAACGAATCAATCGACGGAACGTTCTTGGGAACAAAGAAGGCACTGCTATCATAAATTTTCTAACGGAACCTTCAAGTCAGGAAAGTAAGATAAAAAAAGAATTTAATAGCAACAAAGCAAACCCTGTATCATTGCTTTTCAAGGAATTTCAAGGCACATCACCACGAAACAAAATGCGGCATGAAACACATAGTGCAGGATTAGATTCGCAAGCTGATGCTTCTGACGAATTTGACACATACCGTCATCAAAGCTTCCCGAAGAAGGTAAAACCAAAACCTTATATCGAGAATCAGTCTAAGGATGCAAAATTGTCAGAAGAAAGTCTAGAAATAACTAAAGATTTTGCAAGTGCAGAAGATCAGGAGCGTAGACGCAAACAGTTTGTTGACAAGAATGACAAACAAAGCAAAGGCATCTCTGGAGAAGAGTACATATGGGATGAGAATGATAGCAGAAACAGAAACATGACACGTCAACTTTCTGCAGAAGAATTTGCAGACCGCCCAGGTAGTCGTGAGTCGACAAAACAGAACTTGTACTCTAAAGAAAAGAAAAACAAGACGCCCAACAGGAGTTCTTATCCGCATAGTACAGAACGAAACTTGTACCATAAAGGAAATGAGAAAAAGACGCTCAACGGGGGATTTTATTCGCGTGCTATTGAAGACGAAGAAGATAGACTGAGGAACAGCAAAGAGAAAAAACCGATGCATTCTGAAGAATTTTCTAAAGAAGACGTTCGTGGAAACAATGATTCCTTTGAAAGAAGAAGACCTGATAAAATCAGCAATATTGAAAAAGATGCTATACTAGGCCTAGTCTTTGGCAGTAAGAGACATAAAGAACTTGCTACAGGATTAAATCGTTCTCGGAACCGTTACAATAACCCTAAAAATACTGTACCAAGCGGTGCAAAGAACGAAAATATTGAGTCAGCAAAAATTTCTGCAGGTGAAAACCGTCGGAACGGTAGCAGAATTGGCTACAAAATACGACTGACAGTATCCGGACTTCGACCCTATTTTTCAAACAAGCAAGACAGTGGAAGACTTAGCTCCCGATTGAGTATTTCAAATAACCACCAAAAAAACTTTGAGAAGGTATCAAAAAGACAACATGTCGATAAAAATTTTCGGCATTCTGGCCGGGAAGGGCAATTAGAAATGAGGAACTGTGACGGCAACAGTCAAGCGCCAATGGAGCAGACGTCTTACAGACAGAAAGGCAATAGCTCTGAAAGAAATACACTAAG